ATGGTTTTTTTTTTTTTTCTTACTTTAGATGTTCAGATAGTCGAAGCTCTAATTACAAAAAGCCAAGAACGTCATAATACACATTTGCAGGATGTTGTAATTACCAACAGCAATACATCAACTGAGGAGAGAGTTGAAATAGAACAAGCATTTCATTTGAGCTCAAACCATATTTCAAATTCAATTATAAATACTGAAAAGTATTTAGGAATGAGGTGCAAAGAGTTCAGTGTATGTCGGAATGCACTTCCTCCTAGAGAGGCTGATTGGATGCATGCTGGAGAGAAATCTGATGAGGGCAATATAACTGGGAAATTGTGGAGACATTGTGAGCATCTTTATCAACATTCTAAGATTCATGCTCAGCAGCAGGCTTTTGAATATAGTGGACAATGAAAATCCTACAACACAGAGAAAATATTATTGGAACAAAAGAAAGTGTATATGGGAGAGACATCCTATAAATTTGATTATGGGAAAGTCTTTCATAAGTCATCTGTTCTTGCCCAAGAGACAATTCCAGTATCAGGGAAAGCTTTTCAGTTTGACATATGTTGGAGAAAGTTCTGTGAAAATTATGAACTCATTGAACAGCAGAAAATACACACAGAAGAGAAACCGTATAAATATAGTGAATGTGATAAATCATTCATGAAGAAATTACCTCTTACAATCCATAAGAGAACACATATAGGGGAGAAGCTATATGTGTGTAATCAATGTGGGAAAACCTTTCACAAGTCCTCAATCCTCAGCAAGCATCAGAGAATTCACACAGGTGAGAAACCATATGAATGTAAAAAATGTAAGAAAACTTTCAAACATAAGTCATACTTCAGGGTACATCACAGATCTCACACGGGTGAGAAACCATATGAATGTAAAGAATGTAGAAAAACTTTCTACTGTAAATCACACCTCAATGTACATCAGAGAACTCATACAGGTGAGAAACCATATGAATGTAAGAAATGTAAGAAAGCTTTCATCCATAAGTCACCCCTCAGTGTACATCACAGAACTCACACAGGTCAGAAACCATATGAATGTAAAGATTGTAGAAAAACTTTCTACCATAAATCACACCTCAGTGAACATCAGAGAACTCACACAGGTGAGAGACCATATGAATGTAAAG